GCGCCCCACTCCGCGGCCGAGACTGGGCCCCACTTGCGCTGCAACAAATACGCGATGGCCGCAGACAGTGGGCCACGAGCGCGGCGGCCCCGCTGCGAGGGGTCGAGTTCCCAGAGCTGCTGCGCCACCCATGACCACGCCTGCCCCGGGCCATTCCCGAGCGGCTCGGCGAAACACGCGCGCAGCCACAAGTTCAGGCAGTCGCAGAGGAGACGGTAGCCTGGGTCCTGGTCGACGCATCTGCGGTCCAAGACCGAGGCGAGGCATCTGCCTCGCTTGGCCAAGCTGGCCACGTGGCCCGGGCGTCTCTTCGTGCCCAGCGTCGCCGCGCCGAAGACGCCCGGCACCTGATGGCCGCAGTGCGCCGCTGGCTGCGCACCCGCTGCCTCGAGCCTCATCGAGGGGCGGCGCCTGCGATCAGCGCGCGCGAAACCTGCGACGCGGCGATGCATCGCGGAGGCCTTCGCCACCCGCTTTCGCTGAGCGGCGCGGGCGCGGCGGCCCGCCCCCGCGCCCAGGCCGAGGAGGGCCACCTGGAGGACCGCCGTGATAGCGACCCCCTTGCGCCGCAGGCTCGCCGCCACGAACTTGGCGCCCTTGTGCGCGGAGCGTAGCACGACGCACTTGCTCGCCGCATCCAGCCCGCGGTTGCGCGCGCCCTCGCTCGTCTGGGCCAGCACCTTCGCCAGTGTCCTGCGTGCGTGCCTGAGTGATCACAGCGCGTGTTGCGACGAGTCGCCGGTCAACGTCCGCACGTTGACTCCGGGGTGCGATGAGTGAGCCGGTCCAAGATGAAGTAGGTCATGCATTGCGCGAGTCTCGCCCCGTTGCGCAGCCCCCGCACCGCGCCGCGGCTCGGCTGGAGAGCCTCCGAAAAGCAATCCCGCCGGGCCGAAGCACGGGAACTGGTGCACAACTGCACTTGTAGAAACAGAACAACTGGGGGGAGCCCAGGTGCAAGGGCAGACTGGATCAACCGTAACCGACATAGATTGTCGTAGAAACTCTGGATGTCGACCAAGCCGCGCCCAGAAGAGAGACCTAGACGCGAATGCGAATCGTCTCCGAGAAAGCGGGGAATCCCCTCCCTCAAGAAGGGGTTTCCCGTCACTGCTGCGCCCCAGTGAGGCCGAGGCTCCGCTGTCCAATATTCGATCAGCGGCTCTCTGGCCATCGATCACATCCGACAAATCAGACCTACCAGTCGGATCGATCTGTCGCCTCCCGCCCTATTTGGCAGCAAGCGTCCGATAACCGAGAGGGGCCAGCTGAAACCGGGCCCCACCGCCGCGAGGACCTGCGCCAGCTCGTCGAGGCTCTCGTCTGGGAGGCGCTCGATGTCCAGCGGCAAGAACCTGTCCACTCCCGACCCAGAACTCGGCCGCGTCTAATGCGCGGCGGCCGCGGGCGCGTCGCCCGTGAGGGCGGGGGGCTCCTGGGGGGCCGCCTCCTCCTCGATGGCGTCCATGGCCCTTAGCAGCTCGAACTTGCACGGCGGCTGTCGCCCCAAAAAGGTCGTGCCACTTCGTGATCTTGCCATCGATGATGTCGCGCGGGTGGTGCAGCGCGCGCCTTCGGGCGTGGCCACCTCCTGCGCTGGGGCTGCGGTCTTCTTGAGACTCTCACGGGGAATGTTGATTGACCCCTCCTCGACTATCCGCTGGCGGAAGTCACCCAATGTCGCGCGGGGGGCTTTGCCGCGGGCCCTGCTGACCCCCTTGTTGGCCAACTCAACTAAGTCTGTCAGCGAATCCATCGAGAGTGCGACGGGGTCGCGCATGTGCCCTTGCCGAGCCCCCCGCGTCCACGTCCTGCGCCGCGCCTGGCGGGCTTGGCCCGGGTTGTCAGTGGCCAGCTTCTGGCAGGCACCTGCCGGCGTAGCGCGCTGAAGTCCTCCGTTGCCCCTGCGCTGGCGGCGCGGGATCCTGGCCGGCACCGCGCGCGCCCGAGACCACCATGCATTGCAACTGTCGCGGGGAAGCAGAGCCCTGCAATTCTCGGCCATCCGCGCCAAGTGCACTCGGAATCGCGCTCCAGCCGTGCGACGAAGTCGCCCTGACGGGATGGCTATGCCGCGGTGCGCCGAGATGCATCTATCCGCCGCCGCAGCCCACGCACCGCGCATCCCGCTGATGTGCTGACTGCGAGGGACGCCCGCCTTGGAAGCGAGCGAGTCTGACATGGCACCTACGGCGCCTTAGAGGCACGGGGTCGAACGATGGCCGACCCGGGCGCGATGCTCGAGCCAGGGCGCTGACAGAATGGAAAAGAGGGGGGGGGGGGGGGGGCAGCGAGCGCAGGAGCAACGGCAGTCGTGCACGGGGGGGCTGCTGCACTTCCTGGGGCGCGGCTGCCTGGGTCGGGGGGCTGGGCGCAGCGATGCCCGATGGGGCCCTCGAGGGGCTAGGAAGGGGAAGGAGGGGGGGGGGGGCTCACAGGGTTGACTCCGTCCAGCCGCGCGCCCGACGCTGCTGGCCCCGGGGCGGTGCGCGCAAAAAACAGAAGCCCCGTCGCCGAAATTATCTTCGTCAGCCCGCGGCGCCCCCCCCCCTCCTCTTCATCCCAAACTCCCGAACCAAAGCCCACTCCTAGAGAGGCGTCCGCGTAGGAAACATGCTGGGGGTCAGGCTGGTTCCCTCGCAAGCTCAAGTTGGGCTCGTTGAGAAAAACCCAACGCGCAAACGGTTTTCCTCCCGAGCACGAGCAATCCCCTCCCCAGAGCATCGCGACGCTGGGCATTTGCCCTGGGCGACTTGGGCCCGGGGGAAGGGAGGGTGGATAGGCGGTGGGTCTGAGGCAGCTTGCCGGGCAGATCCAGCGAGCGCGTGGGCAACTGAGTGGCCGCCCCTCGGAAGTGCATTAAGAGGCCGCAGCGGGCGTTCCATGGCGCGTCGACCACAGCCTCAAAAGGCAAAACGCATGGAAGAATAGACTCGCTATCGCTAGCCAGTGCATATCTCCGAACCTCTCGCGCCTGCCGCGCGCGTGGCTGCAATAATGGAAGCCCACAAGGCATGCCCTCCAGCTTTGGCGACATACCCCCTAGCCTCGAAACCGCTGACAGGGGTGCTCCGATCTGCAAATGCAACCCATGGAAGCTGGAGACTGACACGGCGCGCCCCGAGCTACGACACCGCTGCAGGTTCCTCCCTGGCCGACCTTCACTGGCAAATCCGTAGAAGCAGACTGACTGAAACCTGCATGCCATCTAACGCTGCGCGCCCTTCAGCTCGGAGGGCTGCCCGCGACTCCGCCGGGCTCCTCGCGTTGCGGAGGCCTTGTGCCAAGAGCCACTCTCCTCCCCCATTGGCACTCGCCCGGCTCGCCTCCGAGGCGCCGCGCCCTGGTCAAGCTGGGTTGGCGAAGGGCCGAAAGTGGGCAACGCGCGCTGTGTTGTCCCAGTCGGCCATGGTCGAGTCGTCCACGTGCGTCTCCACCGGGCCTGCATAGTCGTAGGAATGAGAGATAATGTCGCCCCAGGCTTGCTTTCCCGCGCAAGTGACGTCGGCAAAAAAGAACATGCTTACAGCCAGGTGTGAAATATCAGCATCCGCTTCAACTGCATCGTAGGGACTTCTCAGCACGGAGCTCCTGCTCGCCTGCTCGGCGCCAGCGTGACCCTCAAGACCCTGTGGATGGGCCTTCGGGGTCCGTGGCGCAAGCAGCCCCCGTCAGGCAGACGACGCTGCCGGTGCTGGTGAAGCGCCGCTCGGCGCTGCCATCGCCGTCGCCGCCTGCGCTGCCGCTGGCGCTGCGAACTTGGTCTCGCTGGGGCGGTCGGCCGCCTGCTGCAACTTCGCCTCCGGGCTGGGCCCGCTGTCGGGGACGGGGGTCTCAGTGGCCCCCGTCGTTGTCGTCCCACTGCTGGCGCCGCCGCCTGCCGCGGGAGACCCCGCTGCTGGCGCCGGTGCCGCCCCTGCCGCCGCGCCTTCGTCAGCCGCGCGCCCCTCTTGGCGAGCCGCTCGTCGACCTCCTGGCGCAGCTTTTTCACGCGAGCCTGCCAGTGCTGGACCTCGGAGCCCCCCATGACGGCCCGCGCGCTCCTGAGTTCCTTCTTTAGATTATGCAGAGCCTCGCGGTCCTGCTGCTCGATGTCGAGGCCCTCCACGCCTGCGGAAAAAAAACTCCTCATCGATCTGCGCCTGGAAGTAAATCTTCTTCTCCTCAGGGGCGATGCCCATATCGGAAGCCAGACCCTGCGCCGCGATCTTCCTGGTCTGCTCGGCTGAGGCCAGGACCAGCGCGGCCTCCCTCTCTCGCTGCTGAGCTCTGGTGAGGTTTTCCTGCGCCTTGACCACCGCGTTGACGGCCCGGTCGTGGCGCAGGGTGGCGTCGCGCCACGCGCCTGCACCTTCGCCAGCTCATCCTGGAGGAGCTTCACCAAAAGACGAGCGGACGTGGAGGAAATCGTCTGCTGTAGCAGCTTCAGGCGTGAGGTTGGTGGGTGGCGTAGCTTGGTCAGGCTGCGCGCCCCCTTTGCCAGCGCCGCCCTTGCCCTTGCCTGTGCCCTTGGTGGCGTTGCCGCGTTTCGAATCCAACTCCACAAGATCATTGACATGATCATCCTGCTCACCGCCCTTGGGTTTGCACATGAACCCGTCGTGGTGTTGTACTCACGACGCCCGCACCCTCTGTACCTCCTCCGCGGCCCCCTGCGCCAGGGTCCCGTAGCAGGCATGATCCCCTGCGCTTTCGCCGCCGAGAGCGGCCCCAAGTGGGGTTTGCTCGGCGCTCCTCAAGCACTGGCCATCGCTCGGACGTCCATGCCGTGTTTTTTTCGGTTTCGTGCGTGGTTTTTTCGCTCGCCGAAGGGAAAATGCACACGTCCGAGCGATGCCAGGCCCAGGTGGGGCTTGCTCGGCGCTCCTCAAGCACCACGTGGAGGCGCGCTGGGGTCGGGTCGGGTGTTGTGGCCAAAATGGACGGCTCGTGTGCCCAAGTGGTCCTCGGTGGGGGCCCCTCCCCACCGTCCGGGCCACAATCGCTTGAGAGGAAGAGAGGGGGAGGAGAGGAGGGAGGAGGGGGAGGAGGAGAGGAGAGGAGGAGAGGAGGACTGGACGCGGGGCGCCGTCTGTGCAAAGCGAGAACACCGCACCACAGGGTGGCTCGGACAGCAACAAATGAGAACCAAGAACGCCGCCCAAAAAACACCGAGAGGCCAGCCAGCCTCCCCCCAAAGCCCCAGGACACGACACTCCCAAAAGGCCCAAATCAGGCCCCAAGAAACTCCTCCTCCTCCTCCTCCTCCTCCTTCTCCCCCCCAGACGTCCCCGAAGCCGTCTCCAAGATACGTCCGAAGAGGCCTCACGAGAGATACGCGCAGGCATCCAAGAGGCCTCGGACCTACGACCTAGGACCTAAGCACGGCTGAGGGATACGCCGAAGGCCACAAGACAAGGCTGGCGCAGTTTGCACAGGCTGGCCTGTCTGGAACCAACGTGTGGCACAACTATCTTACTGGATAAATGGTTGAACTAGCATCCTACTGCTTGTGAGCAGGAAAGGAAGCAGGCGTGGCAGAGTCAAAGAGCAGGTGATCTCCTCCCCCCTTTCTCATGAAATCCACCTCCGCCGTCCAAAGCCTGCACCTACAACATCTCGAATCAAGGATAATCAAAACTACCGAACAGTATGTGCCGTCGATGTCGCTGCATGGCTGCTCAGTATCGCGTGCACGCGTGAGGTAAAACTTCGCGTGGCATCCTACTGCTTGTGTGCAGCAGGTGTTCCCCCCCCCCTTCTCATACAATCCCCCTCCAACGTCCACAGCCTCCTCCTCCACCATCCCGAATCAATAATAATGAACACCACCGGAAAATGTGTCGTCGATGTCGCTGCATGGCTGCTCAATATCGAGTGCACTCGCGAGGTTTAAACTTCGCGTGGCATATGGATGCAAAGCACTGCCTCGCAAAACGATCAACAAATGAGAAAGCCAATCATGAAATTGTCTCAATCGCATCCCTTCGTAAAGCATATTGCTGAAGAAGCCGGTCTTACGTCCATGACAAAGACATCCCCCAACAGCATCCACGCACGCAATATCGAGACAAACACTGCTTGCGTGCACGCGCGAGGTGAAATGTTTCGACTAGCTTCAACCTCCTCCTCCTCCTCCTCCTCCCCACCTTAGTGAGCCCTGGAAACGACCAGGCCATGTTCTAGCGTTTCGGAAACATATCCCGTGAAAGTGGAAAGGGTAAACACACGGCAGCCTGAAACGGCCACGAACACGCGGAAGTGGAACCGGAACTGGAAGAAACGGTGACGGACCTGGCAACAAGAACGGCACCACTGGCAAAAAAAAACGGCAGCACGGGACCAGTGAGCAAACGACCCTTCCGTATCCAGGGCCCACGGAGCGCCGCCCCCCTCCTCACGAACACGTCCAGAACCTCGAGCGTCGGCTGGAAGCCTAGGAAAATCTGCTGAAGAGGCCGAAATTCTGCCGAAGAGGCCGTGGCGCGGGCGATGTCGCCCGGCCGGCGCTCCAGGCGAAGCGCGCTGTCACGCAGGGGCCCTGGCGGAGTAGAGGCCCAGGCTGTGTCGCCTGCGCCCAGCGGCGGCGGCGGCGGCGGTCCTGAGCGCACAAAACCCAGGCGGCGCGAACCTGTAAGCCCGGTGCTGTCGGGCCCAGGCCAGTGTGAGCCCGATGCAATCATCCTTCCCCCCCGTCCTCTTCCTCCTCCACTTCCAGCCTTTCCGTGTCAGTTCGTCACCCGTTCTCGTCGCTGGGCTCCCCTGGATGGCAAAAGGACAAGTGCATCGACCACAAGTTGCACATCCCATGCTTCGCCAACCCCGGCCCAGGCACACTCTCCCGCCCAGGGGCGCGGCGGTCGGGGGCGACGACGGGGGCGAATAGCCTGAGGGAGAGCAACACGTGTACAGTGGGGCCCAAGCCAGAAGAGCACCCCTCAAGAACATGAGACCCTCCGTCGGCCAAAACACACAGGCGTATATATCCAGCTTATATCTTATACCTCGGTCCAACCGTAGGTTGATGAATCACATCAAGGGCTGGGCGCTGAACAGGCGTGCCGAACGCAATGTCAGCTGCAGAATCTGTAAATCCAGCGGGTCCTGTAAGTCCGTCGTTGCAAGCGGATCTCCTCCTCTGATCACGCACGATTACAAGTAGGTTCAGACCTGTAGAACTCAGAAGCGTGTCTAGTCTAGGTAGGCACCTCTCACAATGCGCACCGATGCGGCCGACTCGCAGCCACAAGTGGCCTGCCGCAACCCAACTCGGCCAGTGTGCTGGCCGCGGGTTGCTGTGAGGCCGCACTCTGACTGCGACCGTGCCGCACGTCCACCGACTGATGATCACACCACACTGCACAGGGTGAAAGCAAAGAAATAAACAATGCCGTAAACGTAAAAACTCGGAGGTCCAATCGGATTTCTCGGATCGGTGCCGGGGCCCCCTGGCGGCGCCTCCGGCGCGGCCCCTGGCGTGCTCCGCGCGCCAAGGAGGGGGGGTCCAACGCCGATCCGAGCAATCCGTACGGACCTCAGAGTTTCTCTATGTTATGTAATGTTTTTCCCTCGGAAAGATCCTCCATCCACTCCTTCCTTTCGGGCCCTCCTCTCGACGTGTGACCTTTAAAAGGGCCCAGGGACACACAAATAAATACACACGAATACCAACATGCCCAATATTTTCTCATCTGTTCTGGATTGTTCGTCTTCCCCCCCACACTTCCCATCTATTCCCATACCTCCCTGGGGATCGACGATTAGCTGTGTCTGTGCGTTCCGTTCCCTCCTGAACCTTCTCCTCCCCCGTGCCCTCCCAAGTCCCACGTGCGGGCGAGCAGGGGCACCCACGCCGCGCGCAGGGCCTCAGCCCTCGGTGCACGTGGAAGGGAGGCCCTTCTTGGGGGACGAGGCCTCGGGTCATGATGTTCTCATCGTACTTGCTTACCAGCCTGGAACATATCCCTATCCCTATGTTCGGCATCGCCTCATCACGACGGCGATCTTAGGGATTCACTCAGTTTCTGAGGCCGCATCCCTAAGATTGTCATCGCCTTTTGGCGTGTCAATCTTAGCGATAAGGATAAGTTCGAGGCTGGTAAACATCCCAGAAACAGTGTCGAGCACCCAGAGAAGTGTCGAAACAGCAACGGGCGATTATCGCCTCCAAGGCCCCAGCACGCGAAAGCCCTGTGGTTTCAGCAGTCTCTTGGTGCTCGAAATTCTGTTTGACGGTCAAGGCTCAAGTAGGTTGGGACATCATAAGCCTTGGGGCGCTGCGCGAGGGGCGGAGACAGGATCTGGCCGAAGAACCTGGGCGGCGCGAGTAGGGGGGCAGGGGGAGAGGGGGATGCGTCGTAGAAGGAGGGCTGCTTCACAGAAGGCGCCCGCCTTACACCCACAGACAAGGCCCACGCCTTCTAAGAAGCAGGGGTGCTTCCAAGAAGCCCTCCCCCCTCCCCCAGCCCCCTCTGCGCGTGGCCGAGAACCACGCGGGCGGGAAGCGGGCCTCGAAGAACATGCCCCCCTGCTCTTTCGCGGCGCCCTCCAGGCCCCACTCGGCGATGTGGGCGGGCAGCAACGTCGCTTCGAGGACCGGCAGGATGTCGAAGCGGTGCCGCCGGACCTCCTGCAGGGCGGCCTGCAGCTCTACCCTGGCGGCCTTCTGGAGGTCGCGGAGGGCAGAGGACGTCTCCACGCCCTCGTCCGACACGGGCTTGCCGGTCACGGCCGCCACGTGCCCAGGGTTGTCCTTGATGTTTTTGGCGTAGATGGGTACGGACGCGAACGCGGCCCCCGTCTGCTTCCCGAGGGACATCGCGTGGATGACCCAATCGAGGCTAATCTTCACGCCGTGGAACACCGCGGACCACTCGCTCGAGAGCATCATGCTGCTCTCGGTTGCGTGGTGGTCTATGAGGCGGTGGCCCTTCCTGCACGACGCCTCCCCGTCGAAGCAGTACACGCTGAAGGGCAGCAGATCGTCCGCCAGCAGTTTCACGCCCGCCTCCCGCATGCGCCGCAGCACGGGCAGCAGCGTCCTCGTCAGGCGCTGCGAGAGCGAGCCCTGCTCGCCGAACAGCCTCTTGAAGTGCAGGTCCTGGGTGTACTCCGTCAGCTCGAAGACGATCCGCCCCGGCGCGCGGCGGGTGGCGTCGAGCACCAGGCTCTGGACCTCTGGCAGGAGCCACTCGGACGGACGCACGTTCACGCTAATCGGCGGCAAGCTCGGGAAGGTCTCCAGGGAGTCCAGGGCCGCCTGCCGGGCGCCGACGGCAGGAGGAGGAGGAGGAGGAGGAGGAGCAGGAGCAGCAGGAGGAGGAGGAGGAGGAAGAGGAGGAGGAGACGGGGGAGCAGGAGGAGGAGGAGGAGGAGGTGGTGGTGGAGGAAGAGGAAGCCCCGGAGACCCCGCAAGGGCCCTGGCCGAGGCCCTGGAGAGGACCGGGGGCGCACGAGGCCGCAGGGTCGCCCAGTAGCCAGGGGGAGCGGCACCTCTTCGGAACAAGTGGCAGGGAGCCCACCAAGGGACGTACGCGCCGACCCACGTGCATGAACACTGCCAGCCGAGGGGTACGAAGGTTCGCGCAATGCGTACTCTCGAAACTCGACGTGGATTCATGTACGTGCGCGCGTCCTCCTTTCGCTCCCGAAAGGGGAGGGGGGGGCACTTCTGTCAGCACCGGCCGCCTGGACCTCCAGCCCCTTGAACTGCAGGTAAAGGTCGATGTCGGTGTCGAGCAGGTCGTCGAGCACGTCCACCACGATGCCGACGCCCCAGGAGGCCGTGTGCAGCGCCAGGAGGCTCTCCAAGCCAACGAGACGCGACTGCCCCTTGTCCTCGCGCACCTCCCACATCGGCTGCAGGCCAAACGAGAAGAGCCTCCCCGACTCGTCTGTTGCGTAGGCCACCTCGGCGGGGGACCTCCCGTCGCCGATGTCCTTGAGCATGCCGCGGAGAGCAGCGACGAACAGCTCTCGCTTCTCCTGCAGCGGCATCTTGAACAAGGGCTGCGCTAGCTGCATGGGCTGGTAGACGCTCCTGGTCAGAACATCCGGGCACGTGTTGGTCACCGCCTCGAAGAGCTGCCTCTGGTTCAGCAACGCCATCGTCTGATCGGGCTCTCTTCTCGCGGGCGCCATCTCTTCGGCCCATGCGGGGCCGCAGTCAAGGCCTGAACAGAAAAAGGACTTGAGCTACAATGGCGCGAGCCAGTCTTCCTCTCTGTCACTCCTCCCCCTCCTCAACTCCTCCCCCTTTCCCTCCCGCTGGGCTCCCGTTCGTCCCCCCTCTTCACCCCTTTCGCTTCCTCCCTCCTCGTCTCCTCCTGGGTGGGGGGGGGGACGATGAGGAAGGAGGAACTAGACCAACTCCTCCTTCGCCCCTCCTCGCAAGGATCCCGGTGCGGCCGCTCCCTGGACCTCTCCCAGACCAGGACCTGGGGGCGAAGACGGCCGCGGCGACGGTGGGCGGGCAGCGGCATGGGGCACCTCGTCCTCCCCGGACCTCCACCCTCCTCCCCCCCCCTTGCTGCAGAACCAGCAGGCCAGCTTCCACAGGAGCTTTTGGAGGTCCGCGCGCGACGACTCCTGGGACCGCCCCCCTTGCTTACCAGCCTGGAACATAACCCTATCCCTATGCTGGGCATCTCCTCATCACGATGCCAATCTTAGGGATTCCTTTATTTTTTGAGGGCGAATCCCTAAGATTGTTATCGCCGTTTGGCGTGTCAACCTCAGGGGTAGGGATACGTTCGAGGCTGGTAACCTGCTGCAGAACCAGCAGGCCAGCTTCCACATGAAGCATCGGAGGTCCGCGCGCGACGACGACTTCTGGGACCGCTGCCGGGACCCCCGCCCTCTTGGGCGCGGATCGTGCTTCGGGTCGGGCGAAAGGGGGGGACAGCAAAGGGGGGGGTTGATGAGAATCAGCTCGCGTGGCTGATCTTCCCAGCGCCTCCCGGTGCCGGAGGCGGCCATGTATCGAGGAATGGGCTCCTCGGTGAGGCCGAAACCAGCTGCATGCAGCAAATTTCGTACCCCCCCCTTTCCCAATCCACCCCCTTTCGTCCGGCCCGAGTGCTGGGGGCCGGCGCCGCCTGGGAGGCACAGCGCGGAGCCAAGAGGTCCGCGCAGACCTTTGAAAGTTGATGCTTACGCAAATGATTATGTTCGTGTATGTTGTCTTCGCCAGCGAAAACCTTCTTACGATGCATTTCGAAAATGATTCATTATTGTGATTATTCTTCTTAGATCCTCTGACCTTCCTTCTCCTCCTCCTCTTTCTCCTCCTGCATCTCCGGATCGTCAGCTTTGCTTTTCGGCGCCCCACCCCAGACAACAACCGTCGTTGGTCTGCCACCCAATGTGGACCCCCCAGATCTGGACCTCTTCGTGGGGACCGACTCCTCACACCAAGCAATGAGTTGTCTCATGTCCCCTGAGGCACATTTAGGCCGAAGATGAGCAAGCACGTGTCGCTTGGACTTGTTGCACGGCGCGAAGAAGGCTGGATTGTCGGGCCATGGCTTGGTTATCGGGCGGCTGCTCGGGGAGATCCCGGCCGCTGCAAGGTCACCAGGCAGCTGCAAAACATCACCAAGACGCGTGGACGTTAGGATCACCCCTCCTCCCTACAGGGCAATTTTCAATACATGGGACTGTAGTTCTCGTAGCCTGTACGTATCGTCCCCTCTTAGAGGATACCGGAGAGGCTACCTGAGGGACCTTTCCGACATCGCGCGCTGACAGCCCAAGCATGGCGACGCAAGCCTCTCGGAAAGCCGAGGACATGCGAAACGTAGGGAAGGGCAGCGGTATCAGTGCCATGTCTTGTGTTTGCTGTTGTGTTATAGTGGGCCATTGGACATCACAACCCCTTCCCAAAGTGTGGCTTCTGAACCAAATCGATGTTTGACGGTCCCGCGGCCCAAAAAGGCGGGCCCCAAGTGCGAAAACAACCGCCAAAAACTGCAGTAATACGTCGGAGGGCTGTGTCCTCTCCCACGTTCCCACCCATCACTCAGTTCGTCGCGCTACTCCTCGCTACCTTTTCTTCCCCCTCCTCCGCCTCCTCCTCCGCCTCCTCCTCCTCCTCCTCCTCTTCCTCCTCCTCCTCCTCGTCCTCCTCCTCCTCCTCCTCGATCTCACTCGTCCTCCTCCTCCTCCTCGTTCCTTTTCCTCCTGCTCCTCGTTCCTATTCCTCCATTATCCTCCTCTTCCGCTTCCTCCTCCTTGTCCTGTTCCTCCTCCTCCTCCTCCTCCTCCTCCTTTCATCGGTCCTCTTTGCTCCCCCTCGTTTCCCATCTCTCCTGCTGCTGCTGATCCTTCGTCGTGTCGTTTCTCCGCATTGCCCCAAGGGTCCCGACGGTTTACCTAGGAACTGCTTTCGTCATGAATCACGTTTTGTTTGTACCATGGCCCGGGCACAGCCCCCGCGGGCCGAAATCGAGGACGAACGCCTGGATTGGAAAGCGCACATCGTCGGACATCTCGGGTTGTCAGGGTCCTCCTCGTCCTCCTCGTACTCTTCCTTCCTCCTCCTTTTCCTGACTACTCCCTCCTCTTCCTCCTCCTGGCTACTTCTTGGCCGTCTCCACGGGTGCGTTATGACAAACCCCAATGGGAATCCAACCGCGGCGACAAAAACTTTCCACTATGTACATGGGTATCGATGTGTGTTCCTCCCCTGGCCCTCCTCCTCGTCCTCCTCCTCCTCCTCGTCTCCTGGCCTTCGGCGCGCACCCCCCGCTGGAGGCATGATTGCCTTGAATAAGCAACGGAATATACATGGCATGCGCGCGCGTCGCGCGACTTGCAGGACATCGACACAAAAGCGAAGAGCAAGGCCCCAGGCTAGAACAAAAAACGGCGGCGATAACGAGGGGCAAGAGACGGACGGAACACAAGGGGGCCGACTTGGTAGCGCGGCAGCAGCAAGGAGACGGTGGACTAAGAAGGGAGTAAGACGGCGACAGAATGAGCGGGACGAGAAAGGACCGTGGCGGTTTTTGCCGTTGGCATGCTGGACAATCGGCACTGCGCGCGCCACGTCGCCGCGGCGCTCCCAACACACCACTGCTCACAACGTGCGCAGGATGAGGCCGCCAACTGCGCTCGTCACGTCACGTCGCCGCGGCGCTCCACGTCGCCGCGGCGCTCCACGTCGCTTCGCGTGATGCGCGCGCCACGTCGCCGCGGCGCCCCCATCGCACCAATGTTCACGTGGACCATCTCGCCCGCCAACTTCTCGGTTTCCTCGCTGCACCATTCGGTCTGGGAGCTGGGCGCCCGCAGGCGCACCGCCAAGTCTGCTGGCGGCGCGAGGGAAAGGAGACTCAGGCCGGGGCCGCGTATCATCAGCAAACTGTCCACCGCCGACGCCTTGGAGGGCATCGCGTAGGAGATTCACCCAGAGAGCACGCAGGCCCTCCGCGCCCTTGCGCCAAGCGTCGACACTGGTTCCGCGGTGCATGGTCAGGCCCGTGAAGCCGGGGGCGTCACTCCGCGGGCCCCTCCCCAGCAGCCCTCGAGAACGTGGCGACAGCTTCGCAGATCGCCCCTCCCCCGCATCCTCCTCCTCCTCCTCCTCCTCCTCCTCCTCCTCCTCCTCCTCCTCCTCCGCCTTTCTCCTCCTCCTCCTCCTGCTCCTCCTCCTCCTCCGCCTTCCTCCTCCTCCTCCTCCTCCTCCTCCTCCCCAGGGATCGCGAGGACCAACTTAGATTCGCGTCTGACAACACTCTTCCGCACCACCCAGCAGCACAGGAAAGTGGCAGACGTTTCGCTGATCGCAGCCCCCCGAGGACGGCGAGGTTCAATTTAGATCCGCGTGTGACGTCACTGCGCTGGACCTCCGAGCAGCCTTTGAAAATGGCGACAAGCTCGAAAGTTGCAGCCCCCCGAAGGCGGCGAAATGCCATTTTGATCCGCGCATGACGTCACTCAGCTGGACCCCCCAGCAGCCCTCGAAAGTGGCGACAGCATTTCAGTTCGCAACCCTCCAAGAATGGCGAGGTGTAACATAGAACCGCGTATGACGTCACTCCGCCGGACCCCCCAGGCAGCCCTCGGAATCGGCAAACAATTCTCTGATCGACCCCCCAAAGATGGCAACGTCTGATTCAGATCCGCGGACGACGTCACTCCGCTGAACCCCTACAATGCGGGCGCGGCCGCAAGAAACCCTCGCAAGAAACCTCTGCGCGCGAGGTGCACCTGAGGGGAAACCTGGAGCACCCTGAACGCAGCAGCTTCGTAAACGGCTGCGGGAAGTTACCGCGCAGCGCGCGGAGCGAAGAAACCCAATGTACCCTGACGAAAAGCGATGGTTTCTTGATGCGCGCCCCCACTGTAAGCAACCCTCGAAAGTGGCGACAATGTCGCAAATCCCCCCCCCCCAAGGGATGGCAACATCCCACGCAGTTCCGCGTATGACAGCACTCTGCGGCCCCCCCCGGCAGCCCTCGAAAATGGCGACTGTCTCGCAGATCCCACCCCCTCAGTCGAGCTCGGATCGGCCGAGTCGCATTAGGTCGGGCCTGTCCCCCATACAGGGGGATTTTGGGCGAAAAATTGAAAATACCCAGAAACTAGTAAAACAAAAATTCAAAAATGGTCAACAAATCGTCCCCAGGCTATGTTTAGGATGGCAACACTTTGCTGCACCCCCCAGCAGCACTTGAAAGCGGCAACAGTTTCGCTGATCGCAGCCCCAACCAGAGAGGATGGCGAGGTCTAACTTGGCTCCGCGTGTGGCGTCCCTCCGCTGGACCCCCAATCAGCCCTCGAAAGTGGCGACAATTTCGAAGGTTGCAGCCCTACAGGGATGGCGAGGCGCCAGGGTAGCAAGCAAGAGGGAAGCAAGGCAGAATGCAGGGTGGCAAACAAGTAAGAGGCGGGAAGAGAGGAGGGAGGCGGGAGGAGCAATGCACGACCGAAATGCCTTTTTCAAAACGGTGATGCGGATTTCCCCCGGCGCGCGGTGCGCGCCAAGAAGATCTCAACGCCAATCCAACACATCCGCCCGAGCGTCCGAGAGAATGTGTTGATGCAGTTGCAGTTTATTTCCACTTCTAGCCAGACTCGATCTCACCCCTATCCCTGAACTGCCAATCCCAAACGCTATGACACGCCTAGGGATGAGCCCTCAGAAAGTGCAGGGATTCGTCGGATCCGCATCAGCGGTAACCATACGGACATTGTACAATTTCAGGACGCTGTGATTTGAGCGAGTTTGGAAAACAACACACATTCTATATTTTAATATATTTATATATATGTATAGATATGTTATATGCAAATAAAATTGTATATACACATACACACATACACACATACACACATACATACATACACACATTCATGCATGCATACATACATACGTACACACATACATACATACATACATACATACATACATACAAACAAACATACATACATATACACACACATACATATATACGTACATACATACATACATACATACATACATACATACATACATACATACCTATACCTATACCTATATATATTTATATACATACATATAATATATATATATATATATAATATATATATATAAAATGCATACATATATATATATATATATATATATATATGTGCTGGAGGATTTCCAGCACCGTTCTATACCCGCCTATGTCCTTGAGGCGCGAGTTGGAGCGTGCTCCTGCTCAGTCCTCCAGCCTCAGACCCCCAACTGGGGGATGGATTTCGTCCCTGGGAGCCGCAGGGCGGCTCTGAGCAGATGGCCCAAAGAGGCCGCCGAGACCACGAGGAGCGCAGGAGGGCCCCGAGAGGCCACGACCATACACTGTCCTCGGGTGCGCCAACGTTTCCTCCTCCTCAACTTCCTTGGGTGCGGGGGGGGGGGTCCTCTTCCTCCTGAACTTCCTCCTCCTCCTCCTCCTGGTGGGTACGTGTGCTGCTCCCTCCTCCTCCTCCTCCTCCTCCTGCTCCTCCTCAGGACTCTCCACTGCTCGAGCTTCCGACGCTCTCCAAGACGTCCAAACGAGGCCCCAAGACCGCCACGGGGCGGCCCGATAGGCCAACCCACAGAGGGCCCCAAGAGGGCCCAAGGAGTGCGGCCCGAGAAGCGTCCACGACGGTCGAAGAGGGCCAGAGGCAGCCCGAGGAGGGCCCCAAGAGGGGAGCGCGAACCAAACATCCGAGCCTTCCGCCCCAAGATGCCCCCCAGGAAACCCTCAGAGGACCCAAAAGGGTCCAACACTGCCTGCAGAAGGCGTCAAACCTGCCCGCGAGGCATCCCGACGAACATCCTCGAGGCCAACGGTCAACGACCCAGCACAGTGGCGTGGTGGGCCCAATTTGCTTCCCTCTCTCTCTATTTGTAGCGAGAGAGAGAGAGAGAGAGAGAGAGAGAGAGAGACACAGAGAGACAGAGAGAGTGAGAGAGAGAGAGCGAACCAGCTAGAACGGTCGTGTAAAGGAATTCAAGAACCGTCGTATACACACATATATATATACATGTACACATGTGCTTGTTTGTACATAGTAAAGTATATGCTACAAGCTGGTAAACTTAAACCCACGGCGCTCGTTCTCGCCGACTCACGCGTCGTTCTCGGCGTTCTGCAAACGCAGCGTCTCCTCCTCCTCCTCCTCCTCCTCCTCCTCCTCCTCCTCCTCTGGCACTCCTCCTGAAGCCGTCCTCCTCTGGCATTCCTCCTCCTCCTCCTCCTCCTCCTCCTCCTCCTCCTCTGGCCCTCCTCCTCCTCCTCCTCGTCCTCCTCCTCCTCCTCTTCCTCCTCCTCCTCGTCCTCATATCCTGGGCTTGTGGCGCGCCGCCCCCCTGGGGAAACCAAAGGTACCTACACTGCTACTCCCAAGACCTCTCCGGGGGCGCGCTCTGACAAGAACATCGGGGCGAACCCGGCGGTGCCGACGAGGGCCTCCGAGGAGGCCCCACAGGGGGTAGACGGGCGAGGGGCAGCGGCATGGGTACCTCTTGATGGGCCTGTTTTCCACCACTACCACCACAAGTTGGAAGGGGGAGGAGGAGGAGGAAGAGGAGGAGGAGGAGGAGGAGGAGGAAGAGGAAGAGCAGGAGGAGGAGGCGGAGGAGGAAAAAGAAACGGACGATGATGAGGAGGAGGATGTTCGGAACGGAACGGAACGGAAGACCCGAAGGGGAGTGCACGGCACTACAGTACAAGCGGAGCTTAAAACGTGGAAACCGTCAGAACTTATCTGAAGGAATCGGCCGTTTTGGCCTGCTCCTTTAGACGGATCCTTTCGTATCAGGCTGACACACGCTGCTCATAGGAGGGGGCCGTCAGGGAACTGTAGTGTGAGGTCCTTACGACTGTCGGAGCGTCTGGGACAGGAGGGGCGGCGGAAAGGCCGAGCCTAGCAAGAGGGACCGCGCGATCACGAGCGGCCCGAACTTTGGGGTTCGGGCACAGACCCTTCGTGAAATCAAACAACATCTCTAAACCTTGGCGAGAAGGAGCCTCACACTGACGGCCTAACTTCAAACCCCTCCCTTGGGACCAACCCTCGCAGCGAAGACAGAGTATCTGCTCTCTGGACGGGTGCCGACACGACCCAGACGTCACGCCAGGAAACGATCTGGGTCCGAGCATGGCGACGAGCTTGTGGCCCATGGGATCGCGGAGCAGACCTCGGAGAAAAGGCGGCAGCCCACGACAACCGTCCATCGGAACGTTGTCTTTGCTGCCTTCAGCAACCCTGAAACAGGTCCTACACTGGAGACCCAACTCACTCTTTCTCCAATCATGCCACGACACTTGTCGCCGCGACCTCGGGGCGCTGATTTTGTGGGGCCTTGCCCACCGAGCCTCTTTGTCAAAACATGGGAGAACACTCGCTGCAAGCTTCAGGAAATACCCCGCTCTTTCACCAACCACATCCAACTCGCTACGGAAGTCTGGCATGGGAGCGGGGTGCAGACTTAAACCTTGTTTTGCATATCGGTCAGCAGCTGCATTGGCAACCGCAAAAAAACGTTCTCTTCGTCAGCAAGGCACTGAATCTCATACTCACCTCGATGGGCCTTCACATGGCGTATTTCCTGGATCAGGGCCGTACCTGCTAGCTGCTGCGCAAATGCTTGCACTCCAGCAAACTTGCTGGACAGGGGGAGCTGATCATTCACATTTTTCTGACACAGTCTGATGGCGGCTTGGCAATCAGCTCCGAGCACTGTTGGGCGCGAGGCAAGCTGGTCGCAACTTGCAATGCCACAGTGCTCAGCCATG